CGTCGGTTAGGGGCATGGGTTTCGGTTTGTCTGTGACTGGCTGGCTGGCGGCTGTTTGATTGGACGAGCAGCCGGGGATTATGAGCTGCTGGGCTTCCCACCCAGGGCTTCCTGCCACGTGGAGGCTGAGGGGAGGGCTGAGAACGAGGGCAGGGCCCTTTGAGGACAAGATTAGGTGCCAATTTCCTCTAGGCTGGGCTGAGCCTGATAGGACTTGGGAGGGGTCAGGATAAGAACAGTATGTCCCCGTTTTACTCGGAACACAGCTCCTCCCCGCAGGATATCAGCCCAGGTGACACTGGGTGAGCCGCCTTCACATCTGTTATTTGGTTTCCTGATCCAACTAAGGCTGAAAGTCTAGGTAGGCCCCACCGTGTGAAACAGCAGTGAAGTTGCAGAGCCAGAGAAGAGCAGCCTGAAGTACCTGAGCTCCAAATTTGGTTCTCCTAGAGCCAAGACCTGAAGCTCCCCTAAACCCGTGGTCGGCAAACTGTGGCTCGAGAGCCACATGCGGCTCTTTGGTCCCTCGAGTGTGGCTCTTCCTAAGCCTTAGGAGTACCCTAATTAAGTTAATAACAATGTACCTACCTATGTAGTTTAAGTTTAAAAAATTTGGCTCTCAAAAGAAATTTCAATCGTTGTACTGTTGATATTTGGCTCCGCTGACTAATGAGTTTGCCGACCACTGCCCTAAACCAAAAGCTCCTGCCTGGGCCAGCTGGGATGGCCCACTTGCTTAGCCATATCCTGGTTAGGACTGGAAATCTTTACGTGCTGTGAATGCTAATCACCTGAGATCCTGGCTGGACTGCAGAGCAGTAGCCCTTTAAAACACAAGGAAATGTGACCCCCAAGGTCCCCAAAAGGCCTTTCCGGGGCCCCAGACAGCTCTGTACCCAAGCTCCTGCCTCTTATGTAGCCCCTACCCCTTGACAGGCACCAGGATCATCTACGACAGAAAGTTCCTCCTGGAGTGCAAGAACTCACCCATTGCCCGGACACCCCCCTGCTGCCTCCCTCAGATTCCCGGGGTCACAACTCCTCCAACAGCCCCATCCTCCAAGCTGGAGGAGCTGAAGGAACAGAAGGAGACAGAGGAAGAGATACCCGGTAAGGAAAGCAGGAACTGACTTAAAATTAAGAAACCAAATACCCTGGTTTAGAGTGGGGGTTCAAGTCTGAGTGGTTTCTGCACTAAAGCTGAGTGAGTAGACCAGGGGTCCTCAAACTACGGCCCACGGGCCACATGCAAATACAAATATTGTATTTGTTCCCGTTTTTTACTTCAAAATAAGATATGTGCAGTGTGCATTGGAATTTGTTCAGTTTTTTAAACCATAGTTCAGCCCTCCAGCGATCTGAGGAACAGTGAACTGGCCCCCCGTTTAAAAAGTTTGAGGACCCCTGGTGTAGACCCTCAGCCCAGCAACCAGTCCTCCTGCCTTTTCTCTCTCCAGATGACGCACAATTTGAAATGGACATCTGATCCAGTGCAGATGACCTGTGTGTGGAGTTACAGGAATCCCTCATGCTGCCGCTGCCACCACCTCTTCCTGGGGTATCCAAAGACCAGCTGGCCTCATCTAATCTGGGAGTGCTTGGCTCTGGGCCTCCCTTAGTTCTGAGGCAGCTAGACCAAGGATAAGGAGTGGGCGCCTTGCCAAGCCCTTAACTCTACTTTCTGTTCGGTTTGTAGGCACTCCTCTCAACCCCCAGCCTCCCACTCTCAGGCTGAGGCGAGGATTGGGGGAATGGAGTATGTCACTGTCTCACTGCTTAGTAAATATTCAAAGAAATGCCTTGGCTCCAATGTTCTCAATGCTAATCCTCCCATCCCAGCCACACAGCTGAGGGCCCCAGCAGACCTGGTTAGGAATAGAGGTCCACTTACTTTCCAATTCAGATTGAGCCTACTTCCAGAAGCAATTAGAGCCTGTGGCAGGCTATGGGGGCAAGCTACAGAAGCTATCAGATCATAAACAGCAATAGCCTGACCCCTGCCAACGGCTGTTCCAGCCTTTCCAGGAAGCAGCCTTCCTAAAATCAGGCCTCTCCCATTACCCCTCCCTCCGTCCATACCAAACCAGGAAAAAAGAGGCACTGCTCTAACCTTTTAGTCACCTCTGATTTCTCCCCATGCCTCTTCTGCCTCCCAGTAATAAATACCAATTCCAATCTCCTTATTCCAACACTGAAAGCCTGTCCTAGACCTTCTCACAGGCCCCCTCAACCTGACTCTTGTCTTCAAAGAATAGACCTTAGAACCCACATTGAGGCTCAAACTGAGGCAGCAGCTAATTTCTAAGTCAAATAGAGTCATAATTATATCCCCTCTCCCAAGAAAGAAAGTCACGATCCCATATTTCAGGAATGTGGTCTTTTTCTCCTCCAATGTATTTAGCTATGTTCTAATATCTGATTCTAATCTCTTGCATACTCAAGAGTGATACAGTGCAAACAAGGCAATCTTTTCTGGAGGGGAAATTCCCCCCATGCTATTTGAACCCGTTTTCATGCTGAAATGAAATCATACAAAGATAGGGTTACTCAGCCCAGCAAGGGATATGCATTTAGTTCCGATTTGGGAAAAAGTGGCAGACAGTAATCTGATCATGCCTAGTAAGGTCATTCATGATGAATGGAGGAAGAACAGAAGTTTGCAGGGTGCAGAGCGAGCCAGAAGTGATCAGTTTGGCATAAGAAGGGTTTATCTCCTAACCAGGGGCCACATTGGGATGTTTTTATTGAAACATATGTTAGAGAAGACAAGTGACCACCCTGTGGTCTAGATGGGACCTCTTCCCCCAGAGGTGGGTCAGGCCAAGGAACCCAACAGGGCAGACAGTCTCCCAAGTGCTAAGAGGGAGCCAAGTGAGACAAGGCCTCCCATGCCAAGGCATAGGAGATGGTGTGAGGTGAGTCTGGGGAACCCATAGGATTATGGATCCTGTTCTGGTACGGTCTGGTTCTCAGATGTGGCTGCAGCTTTCTCTTCATTAGCCTCCTCCTCTAAGGACAGACTCCTCTTTTCTGCAATTAATCTTTTAACTCCCACCATCCACTGACTGACTTCAGTCACATGGTCAACCATGAGTGAGCGGTGGATGTCATCTGCTGCATCCCACTGGTGGCTTGAAAGCTCTGAGGAGAGAGAGAAAGAGGCTGAGCAAGCAGTCTGGGGCAACAGACAGCTCCCACTCTCCCCTCCAAATCTCACTACCTATTCCAGCTTAGCCAACTGCGGCAGGATAAGGAACCGATACCTTGCACCAGCAGAGCCATCCTCTTCTTTACAGGCGTTGACAGCTTCCCTCCAGCCCACTGTTCTTGCAGCAGAGCCAGGCGTCGGCTGATGTCATCACATACCTGCTTCTGAGAGACAGAAAGCCCTGCAAGTCAGTGCTGCCACAACAGGGGCAAAGGAAACCTAGCACCACATAGGAAGCACCTGCTTTCTCTGGCCCAGGAACTTTACACTTAATCTTAGCGTTCTGGTTCTTTACCCAAAGATTAGAGGCCCACTAAGAATTTCATGAAACTTATAGATCTATTTTCAAGATAAATGCATGTAAGGTGAGAATTTTAAGCTTTCTTAGACGCTCAAAAACTCATTTTATAGTGCTACTTTACAAATAAGGAAACTAAGAACCAAATAGGTGAAAATTACTATGCTACTTTCTTTTAAGATTCCTCAAATCCCTTGTCTCCAGAGAACTTAAACACTATAGACAGAAAAAGAGGGTTTCCCTCCCTCCTTGAACACAAAATTAGCAAGGCCTGCTCTGAAAGGCCTAGAGGTATCATAATCAGGCTGTTGATCACTAATGGGAGTTAAATTCAACTTTCATACCCACAAGTCTCTTCTGACTGGTCTCGAGAAGTGCCTTGAACCCTCCTGAAACCCTGTGTTTATTTTTCTGGGAAGGCCTTAGATTCCAAAGGAGTCCATAACTTGAAAGGGTTAAGAGCCACTGCCCATGGGATCACAGGGTCTACTTTTGGGAGCCATACCTGCATCTGGCTGTCAATAGGAACCCTCCCCATCATCCCACCAGAGTGCCAGGGTTTACCTTCATGTGGCCACGACAATCATCCAATGCCTGTTCCAAAGGTCTCAGCACATCTTCCAACAGAGTCTCACACTCAATGACTGGAAAATCTATGGGATCCACAGTGGAGGCAGGACAGCTCCCCACAGCTGGGGGCCTAGAAGCTGTACTTGAAGGAGGTGGAGGCCCCATTGGGGAGGGCCCAGGAGAAGTCTCTGAGGTAGGGACTGAAAAGGTAAAGCAGGATCAAACAAACACAGGCATAGCTGCTGAAATAGTTTGTAAGAAGCTCAACTCTCTTGAGACAACTCATTCACTGAAAAATATATATTTATGAAGTCCCTACTATGTGCCAGACAATGTGTGAGGCACCAGCAAGAGTAGTAAACCAGGCTAACTAGGTTCCTGATAGAGAGTTTAAATTCTAGAGGAAGTGGGGGGTAGGGAGGACAAGAAAAATCACCAAGTTATGTTGCATACTACAAAGAAAATGGATCAAGTGGATAAGAGGAATACAGGGACCTACCTAGAAGGGCACCTAATTTTATTCCAGCCCACCCACAATGTGACATTTGGCAAGTTACTTTTAACCTCTGAGCTTGGGTTCCTCTTCTATAAAATGGGGATATTACCATAATAGCACTTACTTTACAATGTTTCAGTGATGATTAAGACTATAGATACAGGCCCTAGCCGGTTTGGCTTAGTGGATAGAGCGTCAGCCTGTGACTGAACGGTCCCCAGGTTTGAGGGCTCAATCCCCAGTAGGGGGTGTGCAAGAGGCAGCTGATCAGTGATTCTCTATCATCACTGATGTTTCTATCTCTCCCTCTCCCTTTCTGAAATAAAAATATATTTTACGAAAAGAATATAGATACAACTGCTAGATTAGTGTGTAGCAAAAAGCACTCACAAAGTTAAGAACTAATGGATGAGATAGATGCAGCCATGAAAAGTTAAAGGAAACAAGTACTAGATAGAGGTAAGGGCAGTGCCCAAGAGGCGGGAAAAGTCAAGATGTTAATTCTGTATGCTCTGAAAAACTGATGAGAATGGGTCAAGAATGGAGGTGGGGACACCAATTGGGAGGTTAATGGAGTAGTGGTCCTGGAAAGAGAAGAAGCTGGCATGGACTTGCGTGAAAGACTAGAGATGAGGAGAAATGGAGTGGTCAGATTTACTTAGGAGGGAGACACAACAGGACTTGGTGGATTGGGGGTGAGGGAGAGGAGTCAAAGATGACTTGGTTTCTGACTTGAGAAATGGGATGGTGGAGCCACTACAGAGAAAGACCAAGAATTTAGTCTTCGGCATCAACATCCACATGAAGAGGGTAGAGGTCCCATGGGGAGGAGGGGCAGTCAGGAGAAATCTCTGAGGTGGGGACTGAATAATTTGGCCTCGGTTTCTTGACCTCACCTTCAGTGATCATTTTTTCCACCCTACCTCAGCTTCATTCCCCTCTGCTGTGTTCCCAACAGCACTGAACCATCTCCAAAATCTGATCACCCCTTCTACCCTTCCAGCTCAGCTACTCAGATTTAACCAGACATTAAAATCGCTGCCTTATAAACACTCGTACCTCACTTAACTGTCCCATTTTCCTGGTAAACACAACTTGCCTACACTTGTTGGGAGGAAAAATAAAACCATGCTGAGGAGTTATCACTTTAAATCCATGACTACAGCCCTAGTTGGTTTGTCTCAATGGATAAAGCATTGGCCTGTGGACTGAAGGGTCCCAAGTTCAATTCCAGTCAAGGGCATATGCCTGGGTTGCTGGCTCAATCCCAAGTGGGGGGCGTTCAGGAGGAAGCCAATCAATGATTCTCTCTCATCAATGTTTCAATCTCTGCCTCTCACTTTCTGAAACAAAAATATATTTTTAAAAAAATTTTAAATAAATAAATCCATGGCTACAGATTTCAAAAGGTATCCAATGCTGCTTGGAAAGCCTATACTTTGCTCATTTTTCCACTCTTTGGAACAACTGTTTTCACATCTTACCTCCTCTAAACTTTCTACCCTGCCCCCTTCTTTACCTTTCCCTGCTGTCTCTCTACTTCTGATGCTGCCTCATATTTCACTGAGAAAGTAGTCATTCAACAGGAACTCTTATATTCTCACTACCAGTTCTAACTCAACCACATTAGTGGCCACTTTCTTCCTCTTTCAAAAGATAAAAGGTCTCTGCTCCTATCAGAGGCCATCTCTCTAGCTGAACTCTGCACCCAGCCGCTCTTGCCTTCTGCAATTATCCCCTTTCTCCTGCACCATTAGTTCTCCCTCTCAACTGAACCATCCCATCTGCACACAAACACACCAAAGTATACTACCTTAAAAACCCTCCCTTACCTCAAATTCCATCTTCAGGTACCCACGCCCTTTCTCACCTCTGCTTCAAGCAGAATTTAAAATATGTATATATATATATGTTTTTATTGATTTCAGAGAGGAAGGGAAAGTGATAGATAGAAACATCAATGATGAGAGAGAATCACCGACTGGCCACCTCCTGCATGCTCCCCGCTGTGGGGGATCGAGCCCACAACCCAGGCATGTGCCCTTGGCCGGAATCGAACCTGGGACCCTTTAGTCCGCAGGCCGACGCTCTATCCACCGAGCCAAACCGGCTAGGGCCAAGCAGAATTTCTTGAATGAGTGGGCTGTAGTTACTTCTCGCTCTTTTCACACTGTCTCCTCATCCCATCCCAGCAGGGTCTCTGCTGTCATCACTCCACATACTGCTCCTAGGGTCATCAATCATCACTATGTACATCAAAACTAGCGGTCCCCTTTTCTCTTACTTGATCTCTCAGCAGCATTCATCACAGTTAAGATTTTACTCTCTGGCCTGGCTTAGTGGTTGAGCATCCAGCAATGAACCAAGAGGGCACTTGCCCAGGGGGTGTGCAGGAGACAACAAATTGATGTTTTTCTGTGTATATCCCTCTCCCTTCCTCCCTAAAATAATTAAAATCACACAAAAAAAGACTTTACTCTCTCCCAGAATAAATTTTACTTTTCTTCTTTTTTTATATATATATTTTATTGATTTTTCACAGAGAGATAGAGAGTTAGAAACATCGATGAGAGAGATACATCGATCAGCTGCCTCCTGCACATCTCCTACTGGGGATGTGCCCGCAACCAAGGTACATGCCCTCGACTGGAATCGAACCTGGGACCCTTCAGTCCGCAGGCCGACGCTCCATCCACTGAGCCAAACCGGTTTCGGCGACTTTTCTTCTTTGGCTGTTTCTCAATCTCCTTTGCTAATTCCTTCTCTACTCAATCTTGAAATGCTAGAGCCTTAGGGCTCTTAGATCCTCTTTAGGCCTCTATCCACACACTTTCCCTAGGTAACTTAGTCAAATCCATGACAGCAAATCTTATCCATATCATGGTGACTCATTTCTGTAATTCTGGCCTATACCTCTCCCCCAAAACAGCAGCCCAAATTGAACATGGCCAAGACAAAACTTGCTTTCCCTTGCCACCCCACCCCCGCCCCCAAACCACTATTCTCTAGTCAGTGAACAAAACCAGCCAACTCCTCAAGCAAAAATTAAGTTACATTGATTCTTCTTTCCCTCACCTACTCACTCCTACTGACTTTCTCCAACACATCCCATATCCATCTAGTTCCAACCACCTCTAGTACTCCCATCCTTGTCCATCATTAAATCTTGCCTATGTTACCATAATAGTCTCTAAGTTTTCCACTTCTTCCCTAAAATCTTCCACACAACAGATACAGTGATATTTTTTAAAATGTAAATTAGTCGGTGCTTCTCAGTCTGGGAAAATTTTGCCTCCAGGGCAAATGTCTGAAGATGCCATTAGCTGTCCCAACTAGATGGGTGCTGCTGGCATTTAGTGGGTAGAGGCCAGGGATGCTGCAAACATCCTATAGTGTACAGGACAGTCCCTCACCACAAAGAATTATATGGCCCCAAATGTCAATAGTGCCAAGGTTAAGAAATCCTAGCTTACCTCATTCCTCTCCAGTGTTACAGTGTGTACATAGAGGGGTGCTGAAAGAGCTGAATCTGAGCCTCTTCCTCAGGGCCACACCCCCACCTACTGGCATGGGAACTGCTCAGGGGAAAAGGCAGCCCTCTTCTATTACACACTTTTCAATGGCTTCCAACTTTGCATAGATTAAAATACAAACTCCTTATCCTGGCTTACAAATTCAACTATGACCTGGCCCCTGCCTACTTTTCCCTATTCCTACCCACTGTGCTCTAGCCAGTCTCCGAGTTTGCCAAAGGTGTTCTCCAGGCCTTTGCACTAGCTGTTTCCAATGCCTGGAATGCTCCGGCACCTGATCTTTGGGTAGATAGCTCTTAGTCATCATTCAGATTTCAGCTGAAGTGTCAGCCCCTCAGACACCTTAGTTACCTGGTCACTCTCACATCACTTTTCTTTCTCTGCAGAGCCCTTGCCACTATTCATTTGTGTATCTCCAAAGCTATAGTGTGGACTCCATGAAAGCAGAAACCTTTTTGTCTTCTTCAATGCCTGGCTCACAGGTGGTGCTCAGTAGATGATAATGAATAACAAGTCAAGTCTGAGACGCTTATTATATAGCCAGGTGAAGATGTAGACCAGACAAATGGATATATCACTATGGAGTTCTGGGAAGAGATCAGGGTAGGAAATAAAATTTGAAAAGAATGTGAGAGTAAAAACTACATCAAAACCATAGGTCTGATGAGATCACCTTGGATGAAAGCATAAAGAGAGTATTTGAAACCAACGTACCATTTATTGACCTGGGCAGTAGAGAAGGGGCTCAGAAAAGGGCCTGCCCCGAGGCCCTTCCTGGGGCTCCAACCTCTCCTCACCGCGGGACAAGCTTATCCCCGGCACCGCCCATTCTCGGCCGGCCTCTGCGCCCTGGGCCCCCACGCACCTCTGGGGGCTCCATCCTGGGGAGCGGCGACCCTCTTGGTTAGCGGGGTGCGCTTGGGTCCGCCGGC